GCTAGAAATGCTATATTTAAAGAGGTACTGTTACGATAAAGATACTAATTTGGCCGGAAATGTTTTGCGGGTCTCTGCTAGTTCATGATTATTTGGATCTGAATTACTGTATCACTTTCGAGTAAAATTTAGAATATTCGAATTAATAATTTTCAAAAATTTTGAAATCTTCATAATTTCACATGAAGAATCTGTGTAAGGCACATGATAATACCTGCTGAAACATAAAGACATCAAATTTATATTGTAGCAAGAGCTTAAAGCACAACCATCATATTAGGGCTTTTATATCTGGTGAGTTTAAAGAAGAAAATACCTTTAAAAATGTAATTTTTACTATGAATTGCAAAAATGTTTATCTACAGTAAAGATCTGTTACCAGATTTATATATATATATATATTGCAAAGTAGATCGATTTGCATATAATTCTTAATACAAGTAAGTTGATTCGACAGATAAACCAAGTTTATATTACTATAACTAGTCTTCTAAGTAAATATTATCTTTCTGGAAATCAGTTAGGTTCAATAGATACTTAGTAGATTTTCTTTTCAGATAAGCCGGAATGTATAATGTATGAAAGCAAAAATGACCAGGAACAAACAACGTTGATATGTGAGGTGCAGGCAAATCCAGTGTTTGTCAACTATACGTGGATGAAAGACAACGAAACATTTGAAGATTTAGCAAAGTGCGAAGAAAGGCGAAGTATTCTGACGTTACCCGAAGCAGCTCCAAAGTACTTTGGAACGTATTACTGCATAGCAAATAATTCTATTGGTGAATCTGTTCCTTGCTCTATAGAAGTGACAGGCATTATTGGTAAGCAGTTTTAACTGGCATTTACTATAAGTTAACAAGAGCGAAATATGAGTACATCAGCCTACTTTGTCTTCATCTAGGTACTTCTGGGTGGGTGCCTGACTTTGGTGATGAAAATGTCATCATCATCGCTGCAGTTGTTGTTGCTGTTGTCGTCATCTTGATAATTGTTGCTTTCGTAATCATAATGATTATGAAAAGGAGACGAATACGTAGTAAGTAGTTTTATCATAGTTTAGACTTACTTCTGGTATTTAGCGTAAAAATGAAGGTAACACTTCTTCCTACAATTAAATATGTCATGGTTGAGTAAATATCAAGAAAGTTTTATGGCTTACTGTCTGACCATATGCGATCTCTTCAAATCTACTTATTACTTATCAGGACAAAATGAAGTATTTTTCTATAAGCTTAAGCTTAGCAAGGTATGTGCATATATACAATGCCTTGCAAAATTCTTCACCCCCATGTGCTGGTAATCAATTTTAGTTATTTTCTTGTGAAGGACATAACCCAAATGGCCGAAAATGTTTATTATATTAATCTCAGACCAGTTTCGAATTATTACAAAGAACAAAAGGTGCATTGTTACTCACTTTAGTGATATAACACAAAAAAATCTTGAAAACGCATGTTGCTAAAGTCTTCACCCCCTAACATGATTATGCAGTTAATATTTGGTTGAAGCTCCTTTGACAGCAATGACAGCTGAAAGTCATTAGCAATCGATGTGTTCGAAGGAAAACGAGG